ATACTAATCACCTAAATTAATAATATTGACATGACGTAGTGACATTTTCTGTACTTATTTCATTTTATTTGTTACTAATGTATCCCCCGAGATTTCGTCTGGTATAAAATTTGGTTTGCCATACAAACTGTCACCCCCATATATTGTTTTAAACTTTCATGGTCCATAACAATCTCGTTAATAGCTATAATTTTACCCCCATTTTACGATTTCTGGGATAAAAACTATCTTATGTCATTTCCAAGGTAGAAAGTATACTAGACGTAAGTATAACTAGTATTTAGACGTGAATAAGTAATATACAGACAGACAGACACACATTCGCATTTATAATATTAGTATGGATGGATTCTATTTTATAAGCCCAGTAACAATTTGCTGAGTCCGAAAAGGTCGCCTAATATTGAAAGTACATATATTGTAATTTTCCATAAAATGTAGGTGCACTTTAGTTTGCATTATTGCAATTTAAACGTTTGACTGTTTACTAAAGTCTATCGTTTGATAAACGCTAATAAACTATAGATTGAATAAGAACTGCGTGTGTACTACGATAACTCGATAATTAAAAACGTTACGACCCTAAATGGGGACGTAACACGAAGAAAATTTATTCTGCATTTGAATACGTAGGTAATCTACAATTCTACAACGACACAAATAAAGTACTTACCCCGAAAAATACTCTCATTTGCATAATGAGGCTATGGAAATAGGGACACGTACGTTTCAAGGTTTAAGTCAAGTATTGCTATGTTTTGTAAAAAAATATTCGGGAGCATTGTCAAACTACTAAGAAATATTAACATTATAGACCAGGGGCCAATAATTTTTGAGAGCAAAAAAATTCGAACAAGATGAAACCCATACCAAAAGGAAGAGAGAACATAAAAAAGGAAAAAAAATGGTTGCCTGTAAAGTCGGTTTTACGGGCGAAGATTTTACGTGACAACGTCTTTTTCTCGGTAGAATATTTATTGATATGAATATAATTAAATTGCACAATAGGAACAAGGAATTGAATGAAAATAAGAATTGCACAAATTTTAACTATAGAAATATATTTTGTTTACTAAAACATTGTACATGTAAACTTAAACTTAACACGAGAGACTCATCGTAACGTTACCGAGCGTTACACTTTTTCATAAGTGACTGCCAGCCGCAACCTAATTTAAGACGTTGTCACGTCAATAAATTACCGGCAATCAGAGGTCGGGAAGAGTGTGGGAGTGACCTTTTGAGAGGGGGAAACGGTTTATCGCGATTTTCGGGAAAACTTCAACTTCTATCGAATATTTTTTTTTACGTGTAGTGGTGAAAACATACCTTATCATGTCCCAAACACGCTCTAATTTTATTGATGCATTTTATTTTATATCGATATTATATCGAGAGAGTTGATTTTTAAATTGATTGATCGATTGATTTTTACATAAATTTTATGCGCTGTTTGTTCTCTTCTTTCTGATGGTATGCAAAAAAAAACTTTTTTTTTTAAAATGCAAAGGCGTCAATTTTTTTTAATAGAAGTTGTAGTTTTCCAAAAATCAGGGTAATTTAAGCTTCTTAAAAAGCTACCAGACTCATAACATAATATAAGAGACATGTTAAGTTAAACTGTTAATACTATCGAGACCTGCATAACCCAGCGTATCCAGATTCACTTCCATACTAGCCCTTGTCCCGAATCATGTGTGCCTTTTGTACCAACCATAATAAAAAATACACACTACCAAAATACATAGGAAATCTCAAAATAGTGATGTACCTTACCAGATATCGAAAATAAATGTGGTGTAATTTACCAGACAAATGTTTCCTGGTTCCATAAATCTTAAATATTTCACAGAGAAAGGTCCACTTGCAGCAACATGGCTAAAATTTCGATTCCACTAAAACTAAATTTAATCCATAGAAAAACGTGAAAACGTATGTCCAGTTTACATTATATAGGCTAAATCTAAATTTAGTTAAATTGAGATTAGCCAAATTGTAGCCAAAAGTAATCTGTCAAAAAACTAGATTTTTCCCTCTGATGATTTGCTGTGAATGTATTATTGCTTAATTTTTTATTCTCTATTCTTTTTTTAAATAAGCGAGAAACAGTAAATCAATATATTCAAAACAAAAATCTAAATAAATTATAATCTGACCTGAGCTGTCCTTGTAGCGCTGTGAAAATGAAAAAACTACGCCATTTGTTCGCAATCAGATCCATGTGGTAATGGAGTATGAAGTCATGCCAGTTTATAACGGGTGTGGTATCATGTTGGTCAGTCAAGGAAAAATAGAGTGGTTCTTCCATCCGGCGGGTCAGCATATCTCATATTTAGGTAGGTAGTCACTCGGGGAAACAAAGTCCTGGCAATTTCAGATTTTTTATATATAGGGAACATGCACAAAGAAGTTGCTGCCAACTGGCATGGCCCATTCAAATCTTGTACTCTGTACATAAAATATGTATAGCTGGGACAAGAAATTAAAATGGGAAAGGAAAATCAACTAAACAAAATAGGCGCATCCGTCTCATGTGGGCTGCCAACGCAAAACTCGACTTTGCTTTCAAAATGAATTTAACAGCGGTACAGAAAGCCAGATTGTTCGGTCAGTGTATGTTACCCGTACTTACCTATGGAGCTGAAACCTGGGTTCTGACAAAAGAAAGTATCAACAACATACTAGTCGCCCAGAGGAAACTAGAGAGCAAACTAGTACGAGACCGCAAATGTTGTATTTCTTGAAGTACCAATACATCCACAAAAAATGAAAATAAATCAATTAGCGCAAAATATTATTCCTTCTGAAAGTATAATAATTACTGGTAAGATGGTGGATTTGACGCTTTCAGGAGAATGGACATGTTATTATATAACTAAAGCGCAGATGTGCTTACATTTTCCTAGGGGGCCAGCCTTGCATTTACAATTTATACTTGCAATGTTTCTGTTGCAGTCAAGCTGACAAAATAAAAACATAAATAAAATTACCTGTATAGGTACTTTGAAAATTTAACTAATAAAAACTATTATTAGTTAGACTCCGAACGGAATGTTATGTTTTTTTCCACGGTGTTTCGGGATGGACAAAGTCGGTTATTTCTATCAACCCATTTCTATCAAAAAAATAGGGTGTCATGGGGGCATCGCCACTCCTCTGAAAAATTCTAAATCCTGTGTCCCCTTACAAATGCAGGCACTAGTGGGATCATGAAGATGGGGGTTAACGAAAAAGTGTCCCATACAAACGTTATTCCTCAGTTCCTCATCACCCACCCCCACAACCCATTTCCATCGGCTGAGTCAAAGTTCCTTAATCTGCGAAATTTTTTCAAGATCCTGCGCACCTTTTCCTTTATCAGCTGTATATACTATATCCAAAATAAAAACAAATTTACGATTTATTAACGAAATTTATTTACCTTTTAGGCTCCAGTGGAATTGTAGCAAAAAATATATAGGAGGTAGATTTGCGCTCACTCCTTATGCCACAAACTTCATATGTTTGCAGGGTCTTTCCACACATTATAGTTAGTTCACAAACATGATTTTCAATGCTAATTACAATAAATTCTTTAAAAACAATATTTTTATTTCAACTTGATTGTTGAAGGAAGACATTTTATTTTATTGCAGAATACCAACATAAATGAAGTACAAAGTGACTAAAATAACAATCTTAACAGAGATACGGGACTCGGTGAAGAGTTAATACTTTTTGTTTTAGCAGGATTGTATTTTTTATCTGTTAATTGTCACAAAAGGCACGCCTCAGTTATTTTGTTAGAAGTGACGACTACCTGCTACAATGTATCGTGACCAAGGAACTTATAAGTTAGTGTAATAAGTTCCTTGATCGTGACTTTAATGTTTGCCGTCAACTGTCAATTTGATATCTTTAAATATTAATAAATAATAAAAAAACGGTATTCTCAAAACTAAAAACAAATCTTCTGTGCCTTAGAAATAAAAAATACCATTAAACACTCCTTAAAAATTCAAATATTTATTTGAACTAAAGCCTGAGCATAAAGACAAAATAGACTAGGTATCTTATAATTTTCAAGTGCTAGGATCGAATGACAACAACCCTCTACAATAAGAGTTTCCAAACAAACTTGCGCATTAGGCATTAAAGAGACATAGTGCATTTTAGGCATTTCGATTTGTAGACGAAATAACATTAGGCAATTACAATGTCTAGGCATTCATGGGTAGGCAATCTGCTTCTTAGTCAAAATGACGTGCAGCAGTGGCATCCTGCATTTCAGGCACTATGCTCACAACCGATTTTAATCACTTCAATCTCAGATTACTTCAACGGCCTCAACAATAACCCATTAAAAAAAAAACTGTCTAATTTTTGTAAACGAAGACTTGTTTACATATTTTATATTATAATGTTATAATTTTTAGGTACATATATTTATTTATCACGGACCTGAAATTTATCTTTAGAACATTCATTTTCAAATGAATAGTTTTATAGCATCAGCGTAATTTATAATTCAATACGGGGAATATCGATGAACTGTTTGTCGACGATGAACCAGTCACAATAACTATGCGTAATACCATTTGCTTTTAAATGGGTTAAGGGTGAAGAGAATAACCTACTGGCCTTTTCCGCCTTTCTAGGTCAGTTCTTGAATTCTTAATCAATTTTGTGGCGTTTTTACTAGAAGAAGGATTCGTGCCGTGCATATCGTGGACGTTGAGGATGATAGCTTCTTAACTTACCTTTACTTACCCTACCTATAAGCGTTTGATTGGACATGAATTTACTAGAAAACTAATTAATTTAATGGGTTACTCGAACCGTTTCCCGAAAGGGGCGTTCTGTCCCGTATCTGTTCAATAAATATGTCAACAACCTCGTTTGCACGCTTGAGCAATGATGAGGAGTCTAATTTACAGATTGGCCAATGCTGAGTCAGCATGTTAATGGTTCACAATCGCAAACGAGCAAAGAGGTGCTAAACTCAAAATTTCCTTTTACAGATGTCTACGAAATCTTGCGTCATATCAGGATAGTGCCTATTGAGATGAGCCCGCGCCAGCAAGGGTGCGGCAGCAACAGGCACGCGGCGGGAGGGTAGTGACCGACTATGTGGGTGCGGGCAGCACGCGCGCTGCGGGCGCTGCGCCGTGCAGCGCTGCTGCTGCCGCTGGTGCTGGTAGCGGCGGCGCTGGTGCTGCTGCCGCGCCCACAACCCGTCCCCTCGCCCATACGCCCGCCCTCCTCACCGGCGCCGCCGCGTGCTGACCCACCAGCTCATCAGGTATCTAATTAACTATACTTTGGTGTAGCATAGTAACCAGATGATGATAGCAGATGTATCCGAAAATAGTTGCTACCGCTGGTGCCGGTGACGGCGGCACTGGTGCTGCTGCCACGCCCACAGCCCGTCCCCTCGCCCTCCTTACTGACGTCACACTTGCAGACCCTTACTACTAACTTTTTTTATATAAAGGTCCGAACCAATGACTCTACCCCACCTGATGATAAATAATAGTGGAGTCCAGCTGAAAAATTGCGTCGAACTATCTACTTACTTTGGAATAGTATCTATAAGAAACAGATGATTCCCTTCGAGATAGGTTTGGTCTCAGGGTGTCTTCATATTTCGAAATTCAACTTCTCAGCTCTGTATAATGATGATGAATGGCGACCCGTTTAGCCCACGCTTATTTAAATTTCACGAAAATGCAATCCGGTTCTACTGTGTATTGGTTCTGATCTGGTGGTCAATAATTGCATTCAAAATATGTTACTTCTACATTCTACTAGTGATTTATAAATAATACCACTAGCTAGCGTATGCCCGCGACTTCGTTGGCGTGGAAGAATTGGTTTTCCATACAAACTTCCACCCCCTCGAAAGATGTTACAGGGATATAGACTAACTATCCTATGACCTTCCCCGGGACTCAAACTATCCTATACCAAATTTCATCTAAATTGGTTAAGCGGTTTAAGCGTGAAGAGGTAACAGACTAACACAGACAGATACACTTTCGCATTTATAATATTACTACGTATACTATTTTACCATATGGAAACTGAATATATACCTACAGTATTGGTTACTCCTTTTAGATATTGAACGAGATCACTGAAAGCAATGAAGTGTTCATTCGCGATCTTGATGATGTATCACGAAGACCGTGGTACATGCGTGGTGGGGAGCAACGCCCTAACCAACACGATCCACAAGCAAACCTGTTTCCAGAAGACGCACCTGGAGACGACAGGTAAGGTGATTACTTTAATGCATTAAAAAAATATTTTTTAAAGGTTTCTCTCATTCGCTATTCCCCGGATGTAGGAAGTATGAACATTTCCCTTCCAAAAACGAAAGAAACAAACAGTTGGACTATCTGCCAACGAAATTCAATTATGTACAAAAAAATAGTGTGCACAGACCACACATTTGAAGTGAAACTTTCTTTCTTAAATAACCTAACATTAGACGGAACATAAGACATGGGGAATAGAGCAGCGCTCGCATCACTCATATATATATACATATTATATTGTCGCGTGTGACGCTCGTGACGCTCGTAACGTTTCAGCCTTCGCCAAGTTACCCTCCAACTTTCATACTCGCTTGAAAACACGACGGAAGTGACGCATTTCCGTTTCATCTTTTCCGTTGGATTTTCCCATTTCCATCCCGTCCGAGAAGAAGTTTTTACTTCAAAAGCTGCTCAATATGTGTCATTGGGTATGTTCTATCTTTCCTGGTAACATTTCCTATAGGGAAATAAGAGTACACGTCACCTACACTCACAAAATAACTATTTTTCCTATATACGATTTCAAAATAATTATGAAACCAAATGGTGTTTTCAGTACAGTTATTTAGCAGTCTTGCCAAGTTTTTATTTTTCCCACGATTTCAAAATAATTGATGACATCAAATGTCTTTTTTTTATATAGAGTTATCCAACAGTTGATGTACATATTACCGAAAGACGAGGACCCTCCAATAAAGAAGATACTGTTGGCCAACGGGCTGGGCGCGTGGGGAGTGCCGGCCGGGCGCACCGAATTCGTGCGCAACAAGTGTCCAGTGGACCGATGCTCCATCACCGCGGACGCCAGAGACGCTGCCAATGCCGATGCCGTCCTATTCAAAGATCACCATACGCCGTTCAACGTGAGACGGCCGTTCAACCAAGTCAGTATTTAAAATTAAATAACAGAACGAAAACTATCCTATTTCTCAATCCAGGGGCCTACTGCCTATCGGTATTGCTATGGTTACAGCTATAGCTTATGATTTCACCTTGTTACTCCTGACAGCTGAATGCTTTCAAATACCTCATGCTCATTTTCTTTAATATTGTTATTACCAATGCAAAAGAAAAGACAACTTCCTTCGGTGGTCAGAAATAACAAAATGTAATAATCGTAATTGATTGCTATAGCCATAGCAATCCCCATAAGGGCAGTAAGCCAAATTTCATCCAAATCCGTGCAGCCGTTTTCACATTTTATTCACCAACATAGAAACTTTCAAGATATAGTAGGATTGTCTGGATTGAGACTAAGTTACTTTTTATCCCGGAAAAGCTTAAGTTTCCTATGGAACTCTCCACAAACTAACTAGTTATAACACGAAAAAAGTCGCGGGCTAGTTAGAACACAAGTAGGCTATGTGAATAAAGGAGGAGGAGGAGTGAGGAGCTTGATGGCGCAAGTGGTTAGCGCGTTCGGTTGCGATCGTTGAAGTTAAGCAACTTTCGCAGTGGTCCGTCATTGGATGGATGACCAAAAATCTTCTATCTCGAGTTCCTCCGTGCTTCGGAAGGCACGTTAAGCCGTTGGTCCCGGCTGCATCTGCAGTCGTTAGCACCCGCCATTCCGCACTGGGCCCGCATAGTGGGTCATGGCCCAATCTCCCTATTCCATCGATAGGGAAGGCTTGTGCCCCAGCAGTGGCGACATCAATAGGCTGATGATGATGATGTGAATAAAAACATAAATAAAGATGTGTGAAATGTTTATTGATAAAATGTTCTAATTAATTACTTAATTGTAAAATGCATGTATTTGTAACCTTTATTGACTTTAGCAAGGCGTTTGATGTTTTAAATTATGAAGTCCTCTTTGACAGGTTGTCGCGGAGCGGTATACAGGGCCCCTTCTTAAAGCTTCTTAAAAACTATCACTTAAACCGATATAATACAGTAAAAATAGCTAACAATTACAGTGAATTAATGCCAACACATCAGGGCACGGCACAGGGATCGATATTAGGCCCTACCGAGTATTTATTATATGTCAATGACATGTGTAATGTCATAAAGAGGGGTCATGTTTACCAATTCGCAGATGATACATGTCTACTGGTAGCCAACAGGAACATAAATCTTGCACAAATCGATATGCAGGAAAGCTTTGATCAGTTATGTAAGTGGGCACATGATGTAGGATTGGTGATAAATAGGCAAAAAACAAAAATAATTCACATACACTCATCGCAGAACAGGACACTTGACACACCGACAATCCTGGCTCACAGTCATCAATGCCTGCATAGTGATACAAATGTTTGCTCATGTCCAACTTTAGAGGTAGTAGAGAGTCATATGTATATTGGTCTTATTATCGACAATAGATTCAACTGGGGATATCATAAAAATTACGTATGTTCGAAACTAAGGTCTATTCTAAGCAAATTTGCTGTGCTTAAATATAAAACTTGCATACAGAACCCTCAGATTAATGTATATGGCCCTAGCTGACTCAGTTATTGGCTATTCAGATCTCCCTGACTCAGATTCAGATTCAGTCTCAGAAAACAAAGCGCGAGAAAAAGCAGGCAACCTGCTTAGACTACACTGTTTATTTCTCGTGCTTGTTTTCAGAATCTGAATCTGAATCTGAGTGCACTCTGGCCGTACCCTTCGGGTGCGGCCAGAGTGCACTCAGATTCAGAGTCAGATTCAGATTCTGAAAACAAGCGCGAGAAATAAACAGTGTAGTCGAAGGGTACGGCCAGATTGCACTCCTGATTCAGATTCAGATTCAGACTCAGAAAACAAAGCGCGAGAAAAAGCAAGCAATCTGCTTAGACTACACTGTTTATTTCTCGCGCTTGTTTTCGAAATCTGAATCTGAGTCTGAATCTGAGTGCACTCTGGCCGCACCCTTTGACTACACTGTTTATTTCTCGCGCTTGTTTTCAGAATCTGAATCTGAATCTGAATCTGAGTGCACTCTGGCCGCACCCTATGGCTTGAGCAGTTATGGTTTGACATATGATACATATTTGAAAGATATATACAGATTACAAATAAGAATCTTAAAAACTATTGTTCCAAAATATATTAAAAATAAATATAAAGAAAATTATGGTGAGTTGTTTAACCATTGTAAAGTGTTGAGTGTATATGATAAAGTCAAATTTTGTGTTTTAACAGAATATAACAGTGCTCATAATCTACAGACTCACCATCGTCCAGAATACTTGCGAAACCTTAATTATAAAAAATATCTCCCACCGAAAACCAACAATGTATATGGTTCGAGAACACTAAAATATGTTATTCCTAAATTTCTAAATGAAATGCCCCCCAGTATTCAAGAATTGTATATGAAAGATAATTGTAAACATAAACTTAAAAAATATTTGTTAGAGCGAATCGCTGTAGACAGATAAATAGTTTAAGGGTTTTTTAGATACAGCCATTGTATATCAAAAATGTAATTGATTTGATTGAATAAATGAATAATTAATTAAAAATTAATTAATAAAGGATGATTACTTCTTCCTGATGTTCCTTTGTAAGAGAATTCAGTTCTGGGCCAATGATCTAAGAAATAAGCGTTTTAATCATATTCGCTTACTTTTCAACTGCTACATTCCACATTAAGATATACCTACTTATTTATTATTGTGTCAATCAATCTCTTTTCAAACGTTCCCATCCCACCCAGACACTTTCGATTCGTCACTTTTCATAGCCTTGTAAAAATAAACAATGCCAGGTGCACACTATGACATCAAAAGAAATAGTTGTTTGATTATTTTCTTACATTTTTTTACAGATTTGGATACTCTATTATTTGGAGTGTCCATACCATACAGCGTCCTTGCGACCCGCGTCTTTCGACGTTTTCAACTGGACATCCACGTATCGCCGTGACTCCGACGTAGTCGCGCCGTATGAAAGATGGGTTTACCACGACCCGCTTGTCACTGAAAAAGAACTCGATAGGAATTACGCAGCAAATAAAACCAAAAAGGTTTGTTACTCACACTTCATTTATCTACCTAGTAAACCTTTACCTTAATAGTTTATAGCACTTATAGCATAGAGGTATAAAAATAGTGTAGGGGAGATATAGACTACTAGAAGTGGAAGTGTCCCTCTAATAGAAAGCGAAAGAAGATGAGAGACCGCTAGCTTTCTCTCTGTAATCGCGCATGCTTTTTGCTTTCTCTCTGTAAATGCTTATTTTACTATTTCGATGTGATGCCATTGGATGCAATGCATCACAAGAGAGAGAGAGAGAGAAAGCTAGCGGTAATTCATCTTCTTTCTCTTTCTACTAGACGGACACTTTTAGAGCCGCCATCCCCACGCTATTCTTATTCCTCTATGACTTATAGACGTCCTCACCAACTAATAGAAACATTTTTACTCTAATCGATCCCGGTGCGTATCCTCACAGCGCAATGACTCTAGCACAGACAACACAACCTTAACACAATATAGAGTTCATGTTGTCTGTAAACTTTAGCAACGAAAATCGGAACACCGTACTGAAATAATATTTACAGATAGGTAGCCCATCTACTGGGCGTGTCATGTAAAAAGAACGCTCTAAGAAAGTGAGATGTGTTTGCACATGGGTACATTCGCGTACAAAAATACTAGGCCTATTGTTTTAAATAATTTATTAATTAGCCTTCCGCTCGTAGCTTCGTATATTGGTTATTGCTGTCACCAAATAGACCGACAAAACGCCTACTACGCAGCCTTAACCGCCAGCGTTCTTTTAATGTAACACGACCTTTACCTGTCTGTATTTGGTTATGAACATTTACTTTGGGAGCTAGTTTACATATTCCAAACCTACCTACTTGGTACATCTGCAGTTCTGCACGGGAAAGGTGTGTTGAATATCCTTTCGTGCTATGGAAAATATGCCAGTAGTCCATAATCGTTTGGTAATCATAGCAAATTTTATATCATGGTCCCCCGGAATCTTTGTCAGGTAGCGTGGTTCGTGTCGAACTGCCACGCTCGCAACAGGCGTCTGCAATTCGCCCGCCAACTATCCAAATTCATCCAAGTGGACATCTACGGAGCATGCGGATCCCACCATTGTCCACGCACCGACCCCAACTGCTTAGACATGCTGGATAAGGAATACAAGTTCTATCTGGCCTTTGAGAACTCCAATTGTCGAGACTACATAACGGAGAAATTCTTCGTAAACGGATTACAGTAAGTGAATTGAAATTGAGTTTTTATGTGAAAAATGGGGTTGTGTGAGCGACTGTTGTGCGTCGACGCTGGCAATGGCCAATACAAGCTTGAATCGAGAGCTTATACTTATTACTATGATTTGGTCGTTATATAAACAACACTGGCTGACTCAAGATTATCTCTTACAAAATAAGGCAATTCGTTTAATAACTCTTAGATGCACTAACAGCGCCCAAAATGTGTTCCGGAATCCGGATCAAGTAGCGCTTAACAAGCGCCGCGTAAGCACTAGATAGGAACTTCGTTTACAGTCACGCGCGGACCGTACGTAGTACGTCCGTTTTTTTTAAGTTAGCAAATCAGTGTTTTCTAGTGCTTTCGCCCGGATTGCGTAGTTTGCGAAGGGTGCGGTTTCGAGTCCCGTCTGCTGCCTGGTCCGCGTGGATTTTTTTCTAGTTATATTTTCTTTACATTTAAACATCAAGCAGTTACATGCTTAAAAAATAAAAAAATATTAATATTAATCTAAATATAATGAAATATATTTTACAAAAAAAAATGGCTTTATATTCCTCCTGTACAAAACGCCAATTTCATATGTAAGGAAAGGACCTTATACTATTGTCTAGATAATTCATAAATCATGTTTAGGTTCCTTACACCATTTTTCATTTTATATGTCTGTTTAGGATCTACAACGATTTAAAGTTGTATATGTTAATATTTGCGCTTTTAATTTAAATCTTACGTTTGTATGGATCTTTGTTACTCTTTCACCCAAAAAAACAGAATGGATTTTAATGAAACTTAACAAAAATATAGCTCATACATAATTATAACATATAGATGATAATTTATGTAGCTATTGAGTCAATTGACCAAACTATAACAATCAGCTCGCGATAATGTTGATTTTGTAATTATCAACGCTAATTCTGCAAAATTCAAAGCAAATAATATATTATTTGCTTTAAACTTTATAAAGTTTTATAGATAAAGCACCCCTTCCATCGCCCTACCCCTATAAGTCTTTAGATAATGTAGCTTATAACCAAGGTCCCATCTGTTTCTGTAGGGAATTCATCGATCCCTAACAGCTAAATCGAATCGATCGATCGATTTAGCTGTTAGGGCGCGAAAGCGTAACAAGGAAAATCACTTTCGCATCTATAATATTATATTATACTAGTGATCCGCCCCGGCATTGCACGGGCGAAATTTATTTTAACGGGTTAAAATAAAGCCTAGGATATAATGTAGTTATAAAGAACATTTTTACTCGAAAAATTCCCTCTCGGAGAAGTAGACAGAGTGTATATAAAAAAAAAACTTTACATTTATAAATCGAGCAGATTAATCAACGATATTGAGATTAATGCTTAAAAATATAATAAATAAAGTAGTTACCGTAGGGTGAATGAATTTTCGAAATCAGTAGTTTGAGAGATTATTTGTTACAAACATACAACTCTTGCTGTACGAGCTAGCTTCGTATAATGTATTTTTCCATGTTATAACTTGACCGCATTTTACATTATTGCACAAAATTATTTTTTAAAGCTACTTCGCAAACAACAAGCTACCATATCACACGTACTCATACCATTATCAATTAGCAAATAATTTATTTTTAGTATTTTTCTCAAATATACCATAATTATCAATTCTTATCATTTATCGGGGCATCCCGAACATTGGTCCTTCGAGTCTTACAAAAGATGGGATCAGCTGCACGTAGGGTTGCAACGATATATCGGAATATCGATAATATCGAGACCAAAATATCGATATTTATATCGATCTTTAAAATTCACTGGTATCGATAATATCGATATCGGAAATTCAAAAATATCGATATTTCGTAGACTAAATTTGAACACAATAATATCAATTAATTTACCTGCTATGACTATCTAAATTGAATAATATCGAAATAACTATTGCTTTGAAATCGCAAGAGCTTATAGATGTATTACAAAAACCTTGAACCCCAAGAAATATACCAAACTGGTGTGGATTCTGGCATGATTCTCTAAACCTAAAATTAAATGTGACAACAGTGTATCCTTGTCATTCTCTATACAGAATGAAAAGGAGAGACTGATGTTAAATTTAGTTTTAAGTTTAGATAATCATGCCAGAATCGACACCAACGTATATAGGTATAATCGTATACCTAATGGTAACTCATGTACATAAAATCCTTGCCTCTCTTTCTAGATAATTGTCAACTACTGATTAATTGAAATTTAATATCATTGTAATATAACACAAAATAAAATTAAGAATCTTATACAAATCGTAATTTTTTTAAGCTCGCCAAGTCAAGAAAGTAAGATTGGTATAGTAATTTTGAAAGCTTTGGGCTTACCCTTTCTGAAGCCATGGGCACGCCCCTGATGTTTTAACATTTTAAACAAAATAAATATCTTTGATTCGAAATTGCTTTTGATTTGATACTTCTTACAGCGCTATAAAAATATAGAAAATATCTATAAACACCGTGTTGGAAATGTTGGAATGGCTGATATATCGGATCGGATATCGATATTTACCTGCCCACAATATAAATATCGATATTTTGGAAACCTTTGCTTCTTTAATTTTAGGTTTTTGCTTTGCAAACGTAATACAAAGCAAAAAAGCAAAAAAATATCGATATATCGATAATATCGAGTTAAAATCGTCGATATATCGGATATCGATATTTTCCTGACTTCGATATAAATATCGATATTTCAAAAGACTTTGCATCCCTAGCTGCACGTATCGATTTCGTCGACTGTGTTACGTCAGTTTTCCTGAACTCATTGCATACGTGTCGTTTTTCCGGTCAATAATTCGAAAATAGTTACTTTGAACCACGCCACTGGAGACATTACAACCAGTTTCCACTGCGGATTCAATGCTATCAGGAAGGCATACACAGTCCAGGAGCAGCGAGGCCCTCGACTCACCAGGTTACCAGCATCGCGTGTGAATTTGCACGCAGTCGCCACATCAGCAGCAGTCTCAAAACTAAGATCTGACCAATTTATTTAGCAACTATGGCCAACGTAGAAGACATCTACGCTAACCAATGCCAAATTTCCAATGCTGCGATCCAATTATGACCAACGTCAAAAAGGATGGCGAGGACAGAAAGACACCGGATTATCTTCAACGTGGCCTGGATATTTTAGACAGCTATTGACATGAGTTTGTCAATAATCACGGTAAGTTGTCAGAGTTTGGTATAGAATCGTATACTTATTTCGTTAATAATGAATGCGATAGGGTAAGGGAGAGGTACGACACAATCCCATCGTACATTCATAATTACCAGTCGACTTATGAGAAACCAAGAACACCTTTATTGAAACCTCCGACTTTAGTTGGAAAAACCACTGAACCCCAACCGACGCCTACAACATGAGGTCCCACTAACAAAACTGAAGAAATGCTTCGGAAACAGCAGAGTAACCTAAAAGCATTTCAACGTACTATCGCAAGACAGTGTTTCCGAGAAATAGAAGTTCGATGACCTGCTGCGTACCATTCAAATGCGCTGGGGAGTCGTCGACGCCTTACACTGGGACTTGGACACCGAGCTCAACGGTTCTCATAAGGAGTACCAGGATGTGTTCACCCAGTACGAAAAAGAATACCAGACCATCAAAAAAGCAATAAATAAAAAGTTGTCATCCGTAGCTTACGTGAAAAAAAGCACTCCACAGATGGAAATACCGCAGTTCAACGGATATTACATCAATTGGATTTCATTCAAGGATATTTTTACCGAAACCATTCATAATTACCATTCTATGTCCAGAGCACAAAAAATGCAGTACCTCTAATCGAAAGTTAAAGGGGAAATTCAACGCCTGATACAGCATTTGAAGGTAAGCTCAGACAAATTATGATATTTGTTGGGAAATTTTGAACCAGAGGTTTAACAACAAAAAGTTTATATTTTCATCCCACATAAACATTCTATTAAATATCCCGATAATGTAACAACAATCGATCGATCATATAAAGCGCATGACTCTACGTTGGAATTTTGGAACGCAATCAAGAATTTAGGAGTTGATATGAGTGGCTGAGACCCGCTGGTCGTGAATATTCTCTCGCAAAAACTAAATACAGAGTCACACATGGACTACGTCGCATCTCATAAGCAACCAAGACAACTTCCAAATTTCAAGGAACTTTTATCCTTCTTGGAGACAAAGTTTACCTCATTAGAATCTTCTCGAAGAAAAGAAGGACTCAGCTGCTACGATTACTAAGAGAGCAGTGCAAAAGTGTCATCTCTGGCGTAGGTGATTAGGATAGCAACATAAAAGTTTTAATGAATATAAAATGCGCTTCCCTAGTAACAAATTTTACATTCGACACAAAGGCATTAATCATTAATAGTCTCGCCAAAAATTTACCAAGTACCATTTATAAAACCAGAGTGGCCGTACTTAAAAACATAAATCTAGCAGATTCACAGCTTTATCTTAGCCGCCTTGTGGACGTCCTTGTAGGTGCAGATGTTTACTCACTTCTTTTCCTCGACGGCCTGTACAAAGCAGATTCAACCTTAACAACAGCTCAAAAAACCCAATTAGGTTGGATATTGTATAGCAACATAACCAAGACTATTCAGTGCAATGTTGTTCTTCACGATCTTGAAAAGATAGAGATTCTGGGTGATCGAAGAAGTTTCGTAACCATCCAAGAAATGTATAGACCACTACCAGAAAACAACCAAAAGACAAGAAGATGGAACTACCAGTCAGACTACCACTCAAACCAGATTATGCACATAAATTAGGCCAATCAAAACAAAATGCCATCGCCCAGTTTTACAAATTAGCAAAATCACTCGAAAAACGTCCTACCATAGCAGAACAATATAAATTATTTATCGATGAATATAAACAACTCTGCCATATGATACCGGCACCCGCCGCTAGCCGGAACACGACACCAGAATATTATTTGCCCCACCATTGCGTCACTCGGAAGGAATCTACTACCACCAAATTACGCGTAGTATTCAACGCTTCTGAAAAAACATCTACCGCTATCAGCTTGCACAAAAGCACTAACATAAAGCACTTGCATAAAAGCACTTCGCCTGTGCATCCATCGGTGTTTCATATTTCAAACTCAACTGTTTTTGTAGTATTTCAGCACGCGACGCACAAGCACTAACCATTCCGTCCTGAATACCTTTCCTTTAGATGTAAGTGATTTTTTCTTTTTTATTAACTTTGTTAATAGTACTTAGTGAAAATCATATTATCACTCATCAATCATTACCATCACCTAATCACCTTACCACTCCCTATTTTCCCGCCCGGTAATATATACGAGCTAGCTTTTTACAATGCATTTTTCCCGCTTCAGCACTTTTAATTTCACCTCATTTTACATAATTGTGCAAAATTATTTTATAACTTAGTTCGCAATCAACAAGCTACCATAGCGCGCGTACTCATACCATTGTCAATTAGCAAATAGTTTATTTTTCTCAAATAAAGCATTTTTAATTTTTTACCAATCAATTCTTATCATTTATCGGGGCAACCCGAACACTTGCCTCTTTATAATATTAGTATAGTTAGGATAATCTCCTATCTATTAGACAAGTCCGTCCGTCCGTCTGTGGTGCTGTTTCAGCGGCCAAACCGTAAGAGATAGATAAAGAGAATATTTAAGTTATAAGTTAAGAATAGTCTGATAAGACTACAAACCGGATTTGAGTAACGTAGCACTTCCGGTTTTCGAGAAATCACGAATTTCAAACGAAACCACACAAAATCTCCGAAGTTCTCAATTAATTAAATACATTTTTTTTTAATCAGGTTTTGGTGAACATTTGGTTCACTGGTTTGCTTGTAATATCTAATAGATAAAAAAGATTTAAAAATAAACTTAGTAATAGGTTTATTTGATTATATTTGTAAAAGTTACTTATCATTTGTAAACAGTGATTCGTTATTCGCTAATTTATACATACTTATTCCTTGTTTATAGGTAGTAAAAAATATTTGAAAAATAACTGCTATGATTGTACCATTTGCTGTTTTGAAAATAAAACTGAGAAATTTATGGAAAAAAAATTAAGTATTTTAGCAAAAAAAGTATCTTCAAAATACTAAAACACTGGAAAAACGTATTTAAATACAAGTTACAAAATTAATTTCAAAAAAGTATTTGAAATACAAGATGAAGAAACTGTATTTTGTATCTTAGATACTTTTATCTTAAATAAGTCACACCTCTGCCAATGCAAGCAACTGAATTGTGCATGTGTGCGCGGATCGGTGTTTGATTGTCAGTGATAGTGCCGTTTTGTCAATATACCTATGCATAGAACACAGAATACCATAACACAAACTGAAAAGTACAATCGTTTTCTTAGTTTCACAGAATCTCATAATAAACTTAACTAGCAAACCAGTGAACCAAATGTTCACCAAAAAAAAATGTATTTAATTAATTGAGAACTTCGGAGATTTTGTGTGGTTTCGTTTGAAATAGAAATCACGTGATTTCTCGAAAACCGGAAGTGCTACGTTACTCACATCCGGTTTGTAGTCTTATCAGACTATTCTTAACTTATAACTTAAACATTCTCTATATCTATCTCTTACGGTTTGGCCGCTGAAACAGCACCACGGACGGACGGACGGACTTGTCTAATAGATAATAGATTATAGAACGGCTTGACAGGACGCTGTTGGCTCTTACTTTATTGGAACAAAAGCATGTAGCGTCCCTTTCTATCTCGTAGGATTGTCATAAGGGCATGATATCTCTTTTCCTTACTCTGTCAGTCTTTAAATACTAAGTCTATGATTTCATCTGTTAATTTTTAGGCATAACGTGCTGCCGATAGTAATGGGGGCGCGCGCCTCCGAATACGCAGCGGCGGCGCCGCACAACTCCTACGTGCACGTGGAAGAGTTCACCAACGCGGAGGAGCTGGCCGCGTACCTGCGACGACTCGACGAAGATGACACACTATACAACTCCTACTTCAAGTGGAAGGTGGATCGATTATATCTATCTTTTGATTTATGTTTGACCATTTACCTAAAGAGTAATTCGAAACATTAACACTTCCTAGTAAAAATTCGAAAATTAAACACTATCTACTCGAACGCTCGAGCCATGTTGACGCATTTCTGATGAGACAAAATCATGAACAAGAAATTTTAACAGATACAGAGAACAGGTAGGTATCTTAAACCATATAGGTGCAGTGTGCGCGCGATCAGAGTACAGCTCTGAGGAATGCGGTAGTGCACTGCGGGCGTGCGAGGCGAGGTGTCGGCGACAGGTGCTTCCGTCCCTCAACCTCATACTCAGATCACATGCGTACTGTAATTGTCCCTGCGCAAAAATGTTCAAAATGGGGTACAAACTTTGATTAACAATACAATGTCTTATATAATGATGATGTATTCGCAGGGCACAGGAGAGTTCATCAACACGTACTTTTTCTGCCGCGTGTGCGCCATGGTGCACGCGAGCGAGCGGCGCCAGCGCAGTGCGCACTACACCGACGTGCAGGCGTGGTGGCGCGACGGCGCCTGCACACGCGGAGACTGGCGCGCCGCCGACCGAGACAACCCTTAACTCCACGCTGCAACGGGCAAGCACTACGCCGACGTGCAGACGTGGTGGCACGGCGGCGCCTGCACGCTCGGTGACTGTCGTGCCGCCGACCGAGACCACCCGTAACTCCACGCTACAACGGACAAGCAGCGCAAAAGGCACTTTAAGGAACGGGCGCCACCAACCGTGACAACCCATAACTCCACGCTACAACGCACAAGCAGCGCAGCACGCACTTTAAGGTACTGGCGCGCTGCTGATCGCGACAACTTGTAACTCCACACTACGACGCACAAGCAAGCAAGCACGCGTTTAAAGAACTAGCGTGCTGCCGACTGCGGTAATCTATAACTGTATGCTACAACGCACAAGCAGCGCATCAGGCACTTTAAGGAACTGCTGCGCTACCGACCGCAACATCCTGTAACTCCACGCTACAACGCACAAGCAGCGCAGCACGCACCTTAAGGAACTGGCTCGCCGCCGCCGACCGCGACATCCTGTAACTCCACGCTGCAATTCACACGCAGCGCAGCACGCACTTTAAAGAACTGGTGCGCTGTCACAGGCGTGGTAGCACGACGGCGCTTACAAGCGCGCTAACTGGCGCGCCACCGACCGTTGTAACCCGTAATTTCACTCTACAACGAGCGTACAGCGCAGCATGCACTATATGGACGTGCTGGCACCCAACCTGTAACTCAATGCTACAACGTGCAATCAGTGCCCGCCCAACTGACACGTGAACGACCGCGACAACCCGTAATTTCACTCTACAACAAGCAAACAGCGCAGCATGCACTATATGGACGTGCTGGCGCCCAACCTGTAACTCAATGCTATAACGTGCAATCAGCGCTCGCCCAACTGGCACGTCACCGACCGCGACAACCCGTAATTTCACTCTACAACAAGCGAACAGCGCAGCATGCACTTAAAGGAAGTGCTGGCACTAAACCAGTATCTCCACGCTACAACGTGCAAGCAACGCTCGCCGATTGGCACGCCACCGATTGCGACAACCCGTACCTCCACACTACAATGCACACGCAGCGCAGTACACATTATAACGACATGTAGGCGTGGTAGAGCGACGGCGAAGAAATAAACTGCTGTAAGTTTAGTGAATCATTCCAGAATTAAAACACTACATATGAAAAAAACGTTAGTTTATAGAAATTCAAAGTGACTCCGATTAAAAGTATCCTAATTAGGGACCTGCAGTTTGCAAGTTTATAATTTTGCAATATTTCTTCGGGGATGTTGTAACTGACAGCGGCACTCTTGTTACCGCTAAAGGCTCCTTTAGGAAACAGCGCTGTTGTCCAATGTTAAGACGATTCAAGTTTTCGTAAACTTACTAAACTCGTCCTTATAAAATAAAATTACTCTGATGTCGACACAAACCGAGCGCTTCTGAGCGATATTTATAAGCATAAAGCGTAACAAAGAAAATAATTTTTAAAAAGTATTTGAGCAGGATAATCAGCACAAGTAACTCAAACTCAAACTCTTTATTTGCATGTATAGTAGTAGTATTTTTTGGCATGACCACATATATACTTTTCTATATTTTAACTTCTAAAGAAAAATCTTTATGATAAAGTTGGATAGTACATATGTATCCACCTATCTCGATACCAAACTTATGTCCTAGCCCGAATTCAATTTTAAAATTTTTCGTTAGTATAAATTTTGTTTAGAAAACAATTTCTAACAGATTCATACTTAAATAAAAATATAATAAAGAAATTATTTGTTTTGATAAAAACCTGTGTTAATGCACAAAATAAAGAGCGGTTTATCGCTACCCGTTGAGTGAGACTCATTTATAACATATTTACATTTTTTTATGAATTTATGGGCTGATAAAGTCGACTGCACGGCATAAGTAAAATTGTCATACTGCTTAATATAAATAGTAAACCTGTATGCGTCCAGTTGGCGCCCAACATGGTGCATAATGTTAATGATAGACGAGTGGTTGGTAATGATAACAATAGTACCTAAGTTAAAGTAATTTCAACCAGATTAACAGTGCATTTGAATATGTATGGATGTTGATTTAGAAAACTTGTTCGTTACTGTATTTAGTAATTTTGTGTTGAATAGTAAACAGCTGGTTCTTATTAACTCGTTATATTATAGGATTTATGACTGTTTGTCTAAAAATAAGTTGAAACCACTACGTTGTGTCCAAAGTCGTATGGAATACAAATACATAAAAGCAATTTGAAAAATGTGGATTTCTAATCTTCGCTTTAATAAATACTTAAAATAAGAGCCCATGCTAAAAATATACAGTGACCCAAAACTTCCGAAGACACTATATCTACTTATCAACAAAGCTCAAAATGTTGCCTAGTCAAGCATGTAAAGATGCGAAAAGTAATTATTAAATGTACTTAATTACACATTTCTTTATCAACCAGTAGTTTCTTGAATAGCACAATTTGCACAATAACAAAATTTTCTTCTATTCTACGTATATTTTGCAATCTAGGTGTTATTAAACTACGTGAAGTATTTTTTAAATGTATATTTCATTGGTCCTCTTTTATTTATATAAAATACCTACCTAGTTACTTATTTTTATACAATATTAATGTTGTTAGTTCACGTTTGCGTATATTTGTTAATGTTTATTTATTTAATTTTAACTATGTAGGAACCAAAAGCTAATTCCTAAAAATTTTATCCAATCTTACAATAGAAATTCTAATCAGGGTATTGTAGATAATATTATGTTACAAATAAATTGGAATCAATCATTAACTAATGGTGATTAAAAAGATAAATGGCGGATACAAAACAAAAGATTCAATCAATGTATTGTATTAATTTACCAAATGAGGCTGCAATTAAATTATGAATCCAAGTATTAGGTACTTAATAAATTATTGTTAAGCTTTTAAGTTCATAGATTTTTATTTAGTTATTATAAAATTTGTTGACTGTTAAAAAATATTATGTTAATATATGATTTCTGATATACCACAAATTTTATAGTGTTTTAAATTATTATAAGTAAAATAAAATTGTTTACAAATCACATTACTGGATTTGTTTCATTTATGTAATCAAGATTTGATTGCATACAGAAAGATATATGTATATATGTGCTAAATATATTGGGTGTAATATTATATAAAATTAAATTTGTTTAATATAGCAATGAGCTTTAATATAAAATTGAAATTGTTTAATATAACATCTTCAATAACAAAATTAAATAAAAAATGAATATTTGAATGAAACTGTATAGTTTTATATCATAATCATTTCAATAACAATCCTTATAAATAAAAATGTTTTATGACAAATATGGTATAATAAATAGCTAATAATAACCTTTTTTAAAATTCAACAATAGAATAAGGTAAATCAAGAATTTCCTATAGAAATTAAATATATATTAGGAAATAACCAATTATATGTCTAAATATGAAGAATATTAGTTCAGACATCAATTTATTACACTTTCCAAGATAATGTGAAATAAATATTACAATCATACTTCTACAATGAATAATGAAAGTATTAAATGCATAACATTTGTCTCGTAATAGCCAGCATCTCCTTGTTGTAACAATAAATAAATAAAAAGCATATCTTTGTTGTTTATTTTAATTATATTATTTGCCCCATATTCTGTATCTACCTTCTTTATTTACTTCATTATATAAAATGGATATTGTGACATATATTTTCATTTATTACATGTATCATATTATTTAATTTCTAGCTAAACTGACAATTATTTGTTGGGTTGGTTGGATTTTGAGCAAAGCAAAGAAAAGAAAAAATAATATTATTTGGTCTATCCATTATAATAATACACATAAATAAATAGAACTATGAGTATGAAAAAAATAAAAGGCCAAACTATGCCCCTACTTCAGCATAAGCAGCAGCAACTCTGTAGTTGTAGGGGTTCTGATTCTGACAAGCAAATATTACTAAGGTTTATCAGAACTAAGTAGCAGTTACATTTACCAGAGTTATTTTAATACTCATGGTTTCACCATAAGTTTATACTTTTTCAAAACCTCTATGTTCTGAATGTTCTCATAAATTTGCATTTGAATATTTACACATTCAACAACAAAATTAATTGTGTTTTGGAATATGCTTTGAGCCCTGTGCATATTTTGTGGAACTAAAATACCAAACCAATTTAATGGGTTAATAGTATTGCAGGCATTACTTTCTGCGACTTTAAATTGTTTCACACCATCTTCATCTACAGTTTCACATATTGTTGAAGCTGAAAACTCAGGACTACTCTCCACTGGAAGTCTAGTAGTGCTTACAGAATTTTGACCCATTATGTATCTTGACTTCGCAAGATGGATACTTCCATTATTTATACTCGATTCAACATTCAATTCACAGCGCATTTTTTCTTCCATTAAATGAAGTTGTTTTACCATAAGCTTATCCAGCACATCACAGACTATATTGAATTCTGTAAAGTAAAAAAATATGGTACAAAGATATGAAAATTATAATGTTCCAAAATGTCTATTGATAGCGCAATTTTTACCATCTTTGTCTTGCATTGTCATGTTCCGTCTTTTCAAACCGAACACTTGTGTTGGAGAAGATCAGAAAAGATTTGTTTTTAGATCCAAGAATGCCCTTTAATGCCTTAATTTTATCTGAGGTATAGGGAGTTAGAAGCGATCTCTTCTTGGTGTAAATTATTTGCTGGTGGTCAGTTGTGGATGACGTGGACCGCAGTGAGTAAATTACTAGTTACCACGTAAATGACTGCGTTTATGTTGGGATGATTTGCTACAAAAACAAGTGTACAACTACGTTTATTAGAGCTATATGTAAAATACAAACAGTGTTGCCAACTCGGATTTTGAAAAAGGCGTAGGCCCGATGACAAAATTACGTAGAATTAGTAAAAATTGCATATGAAAAGTTCGTAGATCTACGTATTTTTTTTTTGAGAGAAGCTAGTTCGTTAAAACGAGTATTTTGTTATACAATTTATTTAAAAAAAGGAGATAGAACATAGAATTCTTGGAGAAGACTCTACATTGGCAGCATTTACCATGCTGTGGTAGACATTTACCATCAGACACAGACGCTGCTAGGTGTCAATTTGACATAATTCTCTAAACTTAGCACTAAATTTAACATCAGTCTCTCCTTTTCATTCTGTATAAAGAATGACAAGAATACACTGTTGTCAAATAGGCTAGTTGACCCTTTGAAAATATGTTTTAAAATGGTTAATAATTGTTATATTAGACCGAAAAAATGTATTGTAGTAATTATCATGATTGTATTATGCGAGAATGTAGAAACACAACGTTAAAGACTCCAGAAAAGTTGTAATTTAAATTGCCCAGAGAAATAAACATATCTACACATGAACACATGTTTAAAACTTGCTAAATCCTGTAACTTTATCGACTGAAAGTCATTTCTTT